TCATCTCTGTGTGAGACAGTTCTAGTTCATCTGTGTGTGAGACAGTTGTAGTTCATCTGTGTGTGAGGCAGTTGTAGTTCATCTGTGTGTGAGACAGCTGTAGTTCATCTGTGTGTGAGGCAGTTGTAGTTCATCTGTGTGAAACAGTTGTAGTTAATCTGTGTGTGAGACAGTTATAGTTCATCTGTGTGTGAGACAGTTGTAGTTCATCTGTGTGTGAGACAGTATTTCATCTGTGTGTGAGACAGTTCTAGTTCATCTGTGTGAGAGACAGTTGTTGTTCATCTGTGTGAGACAGTTCTAGTTCATCTGTGTGAGAGACGGTTGTTGTTCATCTGTGTGAGACAGTTGTAGTTCATCTGTGTGTGAGACAGTTGTAGTTCATCTCTGTGTGAGACAGTTGTAGTTCATCTGTGTGTGAGACAGTTGTAGTTCATCTGCGTGTGAGACAGTTGTAGTTCATCTGTGTGTGAGACAGTTGTAGTTCATCTGTGTGTGAGACAGTTGTAGTTCATCTCTATGTGAGACAGTTGTAGTTCATCTCTGTGTGAGACAGTTGTAGTTCATCTGTGTGTAGGGCAGTTGTTTTCATCTCTGTGTGAGACAGTTGTAGTTCATCTCTGTGGAGACAGTTGTAGTTCAACTCTGTGCGGACAGTTTGTACTATGTCTGTGTTAGACAGTTGTAGTTCAACTCTGTGTGAGACAGTTGTAGCTCATCTCTGTGTTAGACAGTTGTAGTTCAACTCTGTGTGAGACAGTTGTAGCTCATCTCTGTGTTAGACAGTTGTAGTTCATCTCTGTGTTAGACAGTTGTAGTTCAACTCTGTGTGAGACAGTTGTAGTCCAACTCTGAGTGAGACAGTTGTAGTTCAACTCTGTGTGAGACAGTTGTAGTTCATCTCTGTGTGAGACAGTTGTAGTTCAACTCTGTGAGACAGTTGTAGTTCAACTCTGTGTTGAGACAGTTGTATTCAACTCTGGTGAGACAGGTTTTAGTTCAACTCTGTGAGACAGTTGCAGTTTCAACTCGTGTGAGACAGTTGTAGTTCAACTCTGTGTGAGACAGTTGTAGTTCAACTCTGTGTGAGACAGTTGTAGTGCAACTCTGTGTGAGACAGTTGTAGTTCAACTCTGTGTGAGACAGGGGAAGTTCAGCATCATTTGTGAGACATGTTTAGATCAACTTGCTTTATGTTAGACATAGTTCCACTTACTGTATGTTAATGAGACAGTGGTAGTTGAAATCACTGTACGTATTGCTGTAGCTTAATTTACTGTGTGTGAGTGAATGAGATAGTTCAACTTACTGTGTGTGAGACAAGTGTAGTGCAACTGACTCTGAGTAAAATAGTTGAACTTACGGTGTGCAAGACACCGTTCGTTCAGCATGTTGTGAGTGGTGGTGGTTCAGCTTGCTGTGAGTGGTGGTGGTTCAGCATGCTGTGAGTGGTGGTGGTTCAGCATGTTGTGAGTGGTGGTAGTTCAGCATGCTGTGAGTGGTGGTGGTTCAGCATGCTGTGAGTAGTGGTAGTAAAGCATGCTGATGTAGACAGCCTGTACTGTCTGCACAGACAGCCCATGCTGTCTGCCAGCTTAGTTCATATTTCGCGCCACTCAGATGCTGCCCTCTGCAGCTAGGCCTCTCGGTGGGCACGCCAGCCTGCCGGCCCTTGCCACGCTCACTCACACAGCGGCCTAGCAGCAAGACACAAGTACCCCCAGCTCACTCTCGTGGGATGGCCCTTCCCGGGCCATGGGCACAACACAAGCCTGTGTACCCACCACGACACTTAACAATAAAGTAAGAAGCCTCCGAAGAAGTTTATCATTAACCACCCGCTTGCAGCATCTACCAAATAATCTCGTTATACTGATACTGGTAGTAATTCAGCATACTGTGAGTGGTGGTAGGTCAGCATGCTGACAGTGATGGTAGTTCAGCATGCTGTGAGTGGTGGTAGTAAAGCATGCTGATAGTGGTAGTAATTCAGCATACTGTGAGTGGTGGTAGGTCTGCATGCTGATAGTGGTGGTAGTTCAGCATACTGTGAGTGGTGGTGGTTCAGCATGCTGTGAGTGGTGGTAGTTCCGCATGCTGTGAGTGGTGGTAGTAAAGCATGCTGATAGTGGTAGTAATTCAGTGTATTGAGAGTGGTGGTAGGTCAGCATGCTGATAGTGGTGGTAATTCAGCATGCTGTGAGTGTGGTAGTTCGCATGCTGTGAGTGGTGGAGTTCAACTGCTGATAGTGGGGTTTGTTCAGCAATGCTTTGAGTGGTGGTAGTTCAGCATGCTGTGAGTGGTGGTAGTTCAGCATGCTGTGAGTGTGGTAGTTCAGCATGCTGTGAGTGGTGGTAGTTCAGCATGATGTGAGTGGTGGTAGTTCAGCATGCTGTGAGTGTGGTAGTTCAGTATGCTGTGAATGTGGTAGTTCAGCATGCTGTGAGTGGTGGTAGTTCAGCATGCTGTGAGTGGTGGTAGTTCAGCATGCTGTGAGTGTGGTAGTTCAGCATGTGTGAGTGGGTTGGTAGTTCAGCATGCTGAAAGTGGTGGCAGTTCAGCATGCTGTGAGTGGTGGTAGTTCAGCATGCTGATAGTAGTGATAGTTCAACATGCTGTGAATGGTGGTAGTTCAGCATGCTGTGAGTGGTGGTAGTTCGGCATGCTGTGAATGGAGGTAGTTCAGCATGCCGTGAGTGTGGTAGTTCAGCATGCTGTGAGTGGAGGTAGTTCAGCATGCTGATAGTGATGGTAGTTTAGCATGCTGTGAGTGGTGGTAGTTCAACATGTTGTGAGTGGTGGTAGTTCAGCATGCTGTGAATGGTGGTAGTTCAGCATTCTGAGAGTGGTGGTAGTTAAACATGCTGATAGTGGTGGTAGTTCAACATGCTGTGAGTGGTGGTAGGTCAGCATGCTGATAGTGGTGGTAGTTCAGCATGCTGTGAGTGGCGGTAGTAAAGCATGCTGATAGTGGTAGTAATTCAGCATACTGTGAGTGGTGGTAGGTCTGCATGCTGATAGTGGTGGTAGTTCAGCATGCTGTGAGTGGTGGTGGTTCAGCATACTGTGAGTGGTGGTAGTTCCACATGTTGTGAGTGGTGGTAGTAAAGCATGCTGATAGTGGTAGTAATTCAACGTATTGAGAGTGGTGGTAGGTCAGCATGCTGATAGTGGTGGTAGTTCAGCATGTTGTGAGTGTGGTAGTTCAGCATGCTGTGAGTGGTGGTAGTTCAGCATGCTGATAGTGGTGGTAGTTCAGCATGCTTTGAGTGGTGGTAGTTCAGCATGCTATGAGTGGTGGTAGTTCAGCATGCTGTGAGTGTGGTAGTTCAGCATGCTGTGAGTGGTGGTTTGTTTTAGCTGCTGTGAGTGGTGGTAGTTCAGCATGCTTGTGAGTGTGTAAATTCAGTATGCTGTGAGTGTGGTAGTTCACATGCAGGGGAGTGGTGGTAGTTCAGCATGCTGTGAGTGGTGGTAGTTCAGCATGCTGTGAGTGTGGTAGTTCAGCATGCTGTGAGTGGTGGTAGTTCAGCATGCTGTGAGTGGTGGTAGTTCAGCATGCTGTGAGTGTGGTAGTTCAGCATGCTGTGAGTGGTGGTAGTTCAGCATGCTGAAAGTGGTGGTAGTTCAGCATGCTGTGAGTGGTGGTAGTTCAGCATGCTGAGAGTAGTGATAGTTCAACATGCTGTGAGTGGTGGTAGTTCAGCATGCTGTGAGTGGTGGTAGTTCAGCATGCTGTGAGTGGTGGTAGTTCGGCATGCTGTAAATGGAGGTAGTTCAGCATGCCGTGAGTGTGGTATTTCAGCATGCTGTAAGTGGTGGTAGTTCAGCATGCTGATAGTGATGGTAGTTTAGCATGCTGTGAGTGGTGGTAGTTCAACATGCTGTGAGTGGTGGTAGTTCAGCATGCTGTGAATGGTGGTAGTTTTGCAAGCTGGAGTGGTGGTAGTTAAACATGCTGTTAGTGGTGGTAGTTCAACATGCTGTGAGTGGTGGTAGTTCAGCATGCTGTGAATGGTGGTAGTTCAGCATGCTGAGAGTGGTGGTAGTTAAACATGCTGATAGTGGTGGTAGTTCAACATGCTGTGAGTGGTGGTAGTTCAGCATGCTGTGAGTGGTGGTAGTTAAACATGTTGTGAGTGGTTTTAGTTAAGCATGCTGTGAGTGGTGGTAGTTCAGCATGCTGTGAGTGGTGGTAGTTCAACATGCTGGGAGTGGTGGTAGTTAAGCATGCTGTGAGTGGTGGTAGTTCAGCATGCTGTGAGTGAAACAGTGGTAGTTCAGCTTATTTTGTGTGTGACAGGGAGGATTCAACTTGTTTTGTGCAAGATACAGGTAGTTCAAGGTTCCTGTGTGTATTGCAATGGTAGTTCTGTTAACTGTTGGTGAGACTCGGGTAGTTGTTGTTTTTGTATGTGAGACAAAGATAGTTCAGTTAGTGTAAATGAGACAGTGGTACCTCAGCTTACTGTGTGAGACAGTGGTACCTCAGCTTACTGTGTGAGACAGTGGTACCTCAGCTTACTGTGTGAGACAGTGGTACCTCAGCTTACTGTGTGAGACAGTGGTACCTCAGCTTACTGTGTGAGACAGTGGTACCTCAGCTTACTGTGTGAGACAGTGGTGCCTCAGCTTACTGTGTGAGACAGTGGTAGGTCAGCTTACCGTGTGTGTAACAGTGGCAGGTTAGCTTACTTTGCGTTTGACAGCGGTAGTTCAACTTACTGTGTGTGCAACAGTGGTAGGTTAGCTTACTTTGTGTGTAACAGTCGTAGGTCAGCTTACCGTGTGTGTGTGTGAGAGTGGTAGGTCAGCTTACTGTGTGTGTGACAGTGGTAGGTTAGCTTTCTTTGTGTGTGACAGTGGTAGGTCAGCTTACCGTGTGTGTGACAGTGGTAGGTCAGCTTACCGTGTGTGTGACAGTGGCAGGTTAGCTTACTGTGTGTGTGACAGTGGTAGGTCAGCTTACCGTGTGTGTGACAGTGGTATGTCAGCTTACCGTTTACGACAAGGAGTAGTTCAGCTGTAATGTGTTGCAAGGCGAGGTATGACCAGAACTGTTGGTGGTGCATATAGTGACCCGCTGCCTCAATGGCTCTCTTAACCTTCTCTAATTTTCCCCAGGGTCTGATGGGCGTGAAACCCAGCCTTGTGTATCTCACAATGACTGTTATTCTCCTTTCCCAACCTGCCTCCCTCCCTCCTTCCCTCCATCCTTAGCCTCACCCTCCCTCATTCTCTCACTCCATTCCTCCTCCTCCTCCCCCCTTCCTCCCCCATGTCTCCTTCCTTGCCAAACTCCGTCGTTGCTACCCACCTTCCTCTCTGCTCTCCGCTCTCATTCCCATCTACAGCTGCTCCTTTTTGTTTCTCATCATCTCTGACGCAGTTGGAAAGTCCTTTGTTTAATAGCAAAGAACCATGAAAGTGCTCAGACAATCTTAATTCACGAATCATCCAGTTGCTGCCCAAGTTTGAATATATTTTGTGTGATTTCCTTTTACACCTGACTTTTTACATGATTTGAGTTAGCAGTGATGGACTGTATTACCTGGAGTTTACCTGGAGAGAGTTCCGGGGGTCAACGCCCCCGCGGCCCGGTCTGTGACCAGGCCTCCTGGTGGATCAGAGCCTGATCAACCAGGCTGTTGCTGCTGGCTGCACGCAAACCAACGTACGAGCCACAGCCCGGCTGATCAGGAACTGACTTTAGGTGCTTGTCCAGTGCCAGCTTGAAGACTGCCAGGGGTCTGTTGGCAATCCCTCTTATGTGTGCTGGGAGGCAGTTGAACAGTCTCGGGCCCCTGAAACTTATTGTATGGTCTCTTAACGTGCTAGTGACACCCCTGCTTTTCATTGGGGGGATGTGCATCGTCTGCCAAGTCTTTTGCTTTCGTAGTGAGTGATTTTCGTGTGCAAGTTCGTACTAGTCCCTCCCAGGATTTTCCAGGTGTATATAATCATGTATCTCTCCCTCCTGCGTTCCAGGGAAAAACAGGTTTAGGAACCTCAAGCGCTCCCAGTAATTGAGGTGTTTTTATCTCCGTTATGCGCGCCGTGAAAGTTTTTCTGTACATTTTCTAGGTCGGCAATTTCACCTGCCTTGAAAGGTGCTGTTATGTGCAGCAATATTCCAGCCTAGATAGAACAAGTGACCTGAAGAGTGTCTTTATGGGCTTGGCCTCCCAGTTTTGAAGGTTCTCATTATCCATCCTGTCATTTTTCTAGCAATGCGATTGATACAATGTTATGGTCCTTGAAGGTGAGATCCTCCGACATGATCACTCCCAGGTCTTTGACGTTGGTGTTTCTCTCTATTTTGTGGGCCCGAATTTGTTTTGTACTCTGATGAAGATTTAATTTCCTCATGTTTACCATATCTGAGTAATTGAAATTTCTCATCTTTTAACTTCATATTGTTTTTTGCAGCCCACTGAAAGATTTGGGTTTATGTCCGCCTGGGGCCTTGCAGTGTCTGCAATGGAAGACCTGTCATGCACATTAGGGTGTCACTGCAAAGGAAGACACGGTGCGGGGGCTGACATCCTTGTCTATGTCGGATATGAGGATGAGGAACAAGATGGGAGCGGAGTACTGTGCCTTGTGGAACAGAGCTTTTTCACCCCTAGCTGCCTCGGGCTTTACTCTGTTGACGACTACTCTCTGTGTTCTGTTTTGTGAGGAAATTATAGATCCATCGACCGACTTTCCTGTTATTCCTTTAGCACGCATTTGTGCGCTATTACGCCAAAGGTCACACTTGTCGAAGGCTTTTGCAAAGTCTGTATATATTACATCTGCATTCTTTTTGTCTTCTGTGCATTTAGGACCTTGTCCGTAGTGATCCAATAGTTGAGACAGACAGGGGGCGACCTGTTCTAAACCCATGTTGCCCTGGGTTGTGTAAAATGATGGGTTTCTAGATGGGTGGTGATCTTGCTTTTTAGGGCCCTTTCAAAGATTTTTTATGATATGGGATGTTAGTGCTATTGGTCTGTAGTTCTTTGCTGTTGCTTTTTCTGCCCCCTTTGTGGAGTGGGGCTATGTCTGTTGTTTTAGTAACTGTGGGACGACCCCCGTGTCCATGCTCCCTCTCCGTAGGATCGAAAAGGCTCGTGATAGGGGCTTCTTGCAGTTCTTGATGAACACAGAGTTCCATGAGTCTGGCCCTAGGGCAGAGTGCAGGGCATGTCATTTATCGCCTGTTCGAAGTTTATTTGGCGTCAGAATAACATCGGATAGGCTTGGTTAATCAAATTTTTTTGGCTCTTCATAAAAAATTCATTTTGATCTTCGACTCTCAGTCTGGTTAGCGGGCTTGCTAAAAACTGAGTCATACTGGGACTTGAGTAGCTCACTCATTTCCTTGCTGTCATCTGTGTAGGACCCATCTTGTTTAAGTGGAAGCCCAATACTGGACGTTGTTCTCGATTTGATTTGGCATAGGAGAAGAATACTTTGGTTTCTTTCGATTTCATTTATGGCTTTTAGTTCTTCCCGCGATTCCTGACTCCTAAAGGATTCTTTTAGCTTAAGTTCGATGCTTTTCTATTTCTCTGACCATGTCTCCCTACGCATTTCAGATATATTGACCTCTTTTAGCCGCTCTGTTATTCTTTTCCCTCGCCTGTAAAGGGAGCGCCTGTCTCTTTCTATTTTACATCTACTCCTCCTTTTTCTTAGAGGAATAAGCCTTGTGCAAACATCGAGTGCCACCGAGTTAATCTGTTCTAGGCATAAGTTGGGGTCTGTGTTGCTTAGTATATCTTCCCAGCTTATATCGGTTAGGAATTGGTTTACTTGGTCCCACTTTATGTTTTTGTTATTGAAGTTGAATTTGGTGAATCCTTCCTCGTGACTAGTCTCATTATGTAGATGAATGGTTCAGAGAACCGACATGTTGATAAATTAGACACATATGCAACTCTTGGGTATCTTTATTGAGGAAACGTTTCGCCACACAGTGGCTTCATCAGTCCATACGTAGGAGAAACTTGATGAACAGGAGGAGAATGAGGTAATCAGTCCCTCAACCTTGAGTCGATGTGTTCAGTCCATCAATCTTGAATAGAATACGGCATATCAGCGGAGAAGCAGCTTATAAACCGTATGGCGGGAGAGGTGCAGCAGTCATAGGTCGTGTCACATTTGTTCAATGTGGAAGTAGGTCGTGCCCAAGAATTAGGGAAGCGAAGAATTCCTAAGTATTAAGATCCCAAGAAGTTGCAGTGTCTGACAGATTTGTAGATGAATGGTTCAAGATTGATGGACTGAACACATCGACTCAAGGTTGAGGGACTGATTACCTCATTCTCCTCCTGTTCTTCAAGTTTCTCCTACGTATGGACTGATGAATCCACTGTGTGGCGAAACGTTTCCTCAATAAAGATACCCAAGAGTTGCATATGTGTCTAATTTATCAACTAGTCTCATTATGTCGGTCTGGGGCTCCACGCATACATGTCTGAACCTCAATTATGTTGTGATCTGAGTATATTGTTTTTGATATGGTGACATTTCTTATCAGATCATCATTGTTAGTGAAGATGAGGTCTAGTGTATTCTCCAGTCTAGTAGGCTCTATTATTTGCTGGTTTAAATTGAATTTTGTGCAGAGATTTAAAAGCTCGTGTGAGTGTGAGTTTTCATCAGAGCTGCCTCCTGGTGTTATTACTGCAGCAATATTATTTGCTATATTCCTCCATTTTAGGTGCTTTAAGTTGAAATCCCCCAGGAGCAAGATGCTGGGTGCAGGAGCTGGAAGATTTTCCAGACAGTGGTCAATTTTTAACAGCTGTTCCTGGAATTGCTGGGATGTTGCATCCGGAGGCTTGTAGACTACCACAATGACTAGGTTTTGGTTCTCGACCTTTACTCCTAAAACTTCCACTACATCATTTGAGGCATTAAGCAGTTCTGTGCAAACAAGTGACTCTGCAATGTACAGGCCAACCTCCCCCTTTTGCCTGTTGTAACGTGGGATCCATATTTCGTTGTCCAAGTGATCCTTTATGTGGGTCTCAGTGAAAGCCGCGAACATTGCCTTTGCCTCTGCAAGCAGTCCACGGATGAAAGGTATTTTGTTGTTTGTTGCTGGCTTTAGACCCTGTATATTTGCAAAGAAGAATGTTATCGGACGTATTGTTGGTACTGGGGGGGGATTTTTTTTCCGGCATTAGTATCTGTATCTGTTGGTTTGGAGTAGAGGCCATCGACTGTGGTTCCACTCCAGGAATGACTGGATTTGGTGTACGATTTCTGCCATTTCCTGCCAGTTTTTTTTCCTTCCTGACACTAAAAAACCTCTCCCTCTTGAGTGGCTGTGGCTACCCAGGTTTTCCCATGGCCTGGATGTTTTGTATCTTTTTGTCCCCTTTAGATGGTATGCCTGGCAATTTAAGTTATAGCACAGTCTTTCCTGTACTGAAGAGGTACACAGTTCAAGGTGAAAAAGCTTACAGGAAGGGAGTTTGCTTTTTCCCTGTTGTTTTGGGCAGGGCATTTTCTACGGTGGTCATAGGGAACGTACTGTTTTTCCCAGTTTTTCCCATCCCAGCAGATCCCAAGTGCATTTATGTGCACAGGTTGGTTTTCCGTTTGCCTTGGGTTTCTGTGACGTTTTCCCCCGTTGGTGTTTTCCCCCTGTCTTATTCTACCCCCCCCTAGCACCAAAATGGAGCTCCCACCAGTTGGTTTTGGTTAATATACCCTCACATTGCTAGTGGAGTCCTCTTGTTTGCTTTTTTCCTGGTATTTCTAGTTTGCAATATTGGTTTTTTTCTTATCTTTAACACTTGTTTTCCCCTAGGCTCCCCCCCCCATGGGTCTTTTATATGTATTCCCCCTGCGAAATTTTTCCGACTCCGGGAAACAAAATCTCCGCTTCACCATTTCTGTCCCCCAGGACAGCACCCCAGCTTACCATTACGTCCCCCAGGACAGCACCTTAGCTTCCCCCATTCTGTTCCCAGGCAGACCTCCAGCCACCATTACTTTTCCCCCGGGCAGACTACACCCCCACATTTATGACTACGGATTCATCTCCAGCCTTTCAGTTTTGATACTGGCCAGAAATAAAGGCCAGTACCATTCCACAACTTTTTTTGTTCCCATTTTTTTAGAAATTCCAGGTTGTTAGA